CGTCATGGCAATCGGACGGAATGAGGGTACGAAGCGCAGGCGGCCTGCCTCACTAGACCCCTACACGCTGCCTGGCACACACACTCACACACACTCACACACACACACACACACACACACACACACACACACTCTCAAACGCACACACATTCACTCTCCATGCTTTACACCTTTCTGACAGACATGTTAGTCCCTCACACAACCCTGTCAAGTTGTCTTTATTACATCATGGTTCCTTTACTTTTCCTTTGCTTTACATTTGTCTTCATACTTTCCATCCCCCCTGGTTTCTGTATCATTTTTCATTTCTTCGTCTTGATAACACAACATCCCTCGATCCAACTTTTTTCCCTGCACTGTTAACATTTCTGGATTTAGATGGTTTTACTCTCACCAAATTCTGGACAAGGGCTTCAGTGGGCATCTAAACGTCCACCTTTGTTTTTTGTGCTCCTATCCTCCCTTTGTGCCTCGTAACAATCCTCTCCTCTCAATCTTTTATAATTTATTTCTATTTACCTTGTTTTGTTCTGCTTACATCTTTCACTGTACAACTATTGCCTGTCCTCTCATTTTCTCCCTCCTTTTATGGTTTTCCTAATTCCTTCACTTACATCTCCTTTCACCCCAGCCTTAATTGCCTAAGCTTCTTTCCATCTGCTCTCTTCTCTCATCATTTCCCTTCCCTTACTTCCAAATGCAACCCTTCACGACACTTCCTATATTTTCCCTTACTCCATTCCCTCCTCCACTCACTCTCCTCCTCTGTGTCTATAACTGATCTTCTCTCCCTCCATCCACATTTAAAACCCTCCTGCCTCCCTTGTTTCCCTGCCTACCACCTCCCTCGTTCTCCTCCTTTACTCTTCTGTCGTCTCCTCCCTCCCTTGGCTCTTCCAGATGTTACACTGTGGCCCAGGGGATCACTGGTGAAGTTAGACCACGTGAATACATATGTGTGCGTGTGTCTGTGTGTGTGTTACTCTATCTGGATACATATGTCTGAATATGTGTGTGTGTGTGTGTGTGTGTGTGTGTGTGTGTGTGTGTGTGTGTGTGTGTGTGTGTGTGTGTGTGTGTGTGTGTGTGTGTGTGTGTGTGTGTCACAGTGTGCACGTGTGCTGTATTAATACATCCCATTGATCAGAGCAGGACCCCTGACAGTCATCATCCCTGAGAACCATCTGGCCGACGCCTGACGCTCCCNCGGCGCTAGAAACCCACCCTGTTCTTTTAATCAGCCTGTGTGGGCATTCGGGTTCCGTGTGGACCTCAATAACGATGAGTGCGAGTTGTGGATCGACGAGGGACGGTGTTGTCGGCGTGGTCGCAGGCGTGCGGTATGCTGTGGTACGTCAACATGCTCATCACATCCATTAGCCAACCCCAGATTTGCCAATCACCCGGAAGCCCGGCAAAAAGCAACAGTAGTTCACAGCTTATGTGACACCAGAAGGGCTAGCCTCCAGAGAAGAGGTGGATGTGACTGGCAGCAGCCACTGCTCGAGCTGGAATCACCCGCAGGGCCCGATGCGCCAGAGGTCGTTGCAATCAATCGACTGTCAACCGGGATGTCTTAGTTCCGCAACGGCGTAGGCAAAGACCATCACCAGTCCTTCACAGGCAGAAATACAACCACCCACAGCTGCCCAGCTCACAAGCCATCGCCCATCGCAGTCCCAGCTCCTGAAGAGACGGGCTGCTTCACCGGGGATGCCTGACAAAGGGCCTTTGCCCGACTTGACATTCGCCGTCGACGGTGTCTTGGCATCTTCGAGAGCCGGGCGCCCGAGTGATCGATTTCAACCTCTGGGAGACTTCACAGCGAGAGGCAACTCCAGTGGGCCATGCAGCAAGCTCAAGCAGGCAGATTCCCTGGCCGCTGACACATGCCACCCGGCTTCGTCAATGCCCACCAAGAGGCACCAACAACATCTTGCTGGCTCTGTGCCTTCTCGGTGATACATCATGGCTAGCGAGAGTATTTAAAAGCTCCGCAAAGACTTTTTGGCCGCCGTTGGCTCTGTGCCACTAGCTCTGGCCCGAAGCCCAAACTAAATCTCTGCAGAAGACCGCGCAAGTCATACAGACCAAACTCTCGTTGTCTCTGTGATTCCCATTTAAGATCGTTGCGCAGAGGCATTGAGTTTTCCTTGGCCGCCATTGAAGGCGCAGTGGTGGGAGCTCACAGCTCCCACGGGAACAAGCTTGTTTCCGTCGTGGAAGATCAACAGCAGACCAGGTAACACTACTGTGTCAGGACATCGAGGACAGCTTCCAGGACAATGAGAAAGCTGGGGTAGCGTACCTGGATCTGACTGCTGCATAAGACACCGTGTGGCACCGGGGACTCCACCTGAAGCTGCAGAGGACAATACCGGACCGCCACATGGTGAAGTTCATCATGGAGACACTTTCCAACCGTAGCTTCATCCTCCAGACCAGCAGTGGCCAGTGCAGTAGGCTCAGAAGACTGAAGAACGGGGTACCGCAGGGGTCTGTTCTCTCGCCGATGCTGTTCAATGTTTACATCCACGACCAACCTGATACAGCATCCAGAAAGTATGGCTACGCAGACGATTTTGCCATCATGCTGAGCCGACCAACGTGGAAGGCGATGCAAGAGGGTCTTAACGAAGACATGGGGCCACGACTTAGGTAGGCATACCTTTCGAGGCGGTGGCGTCTACCAGGCTCAGCTTTGCCGGAAAGACGAGTTCGGCAGCGGCGCATACCACCTTTAGGACCAGAGAAAGGCCAGGAGCGGGGGAACTTGGGGTGGCGGGTCGTCGAACAACAAGATGTCTGTGGGAGTCAGCCAAGCCAAAGCCCGAAGTATGCTTGGAGTGCGTCTGGATCTGCCGACCATGTATCGCTGCTTAAAAAAGACACCGTGGAAGCAAGTCAAAGGCCCGAGGGTTGGCAGTCGCGGCGTGCGCGCCTGATCCGGCCCGCCCCTCGCCTGCGAACAAACTGCGGGAGGCGCCTCCGGCTAAGGACGGCTGCGGCACTTATCCACTCAGAGCCCCTGCCGTCTTCTCTGGCGGCGGAATACTGTGGCCCCCAGTGCTGGAGCAGAGGCCGTCATGCCGACGACAGGTTCGACGCGGGTTAGCGCAATATGTACTCCTCCGAATAATAACCTG